ATCTTAAATTGTGGACTGTCCAAGGCATCTACAAACTGACACCTCAGCAACAAGTATTGCAAAGCTGTATTGAGAAAGAATAAACTAGTTTTATTTAAGAAAGGACTTGTATCGCTAATGTTTCTTCGGAAAGCATTTTTACGGAAAATTAACTAACGACCAGAGATGTAACAGTATGCTATTTTATTTTTCATTAACTCACTTAATTAAACCCATCTCTCCAATGCCTTTATTTCAAATAATTGTCTATATCGTATATAAACGTCTGATAATTTTAGTGTAATATTCTAAAATTATATTCACTAAAAGAAAATAATTATTAAATAAATATATTTATTTATTTTTGCATGTGTGTTACAATTTTATAAATAATAATTATTAATAGTTTCAAGAGGACTCTGTCGTCATCAAATGAAAAGGTTAATAATATTATTTTATAATGAACGAGTTTTATGTTTCTTTAGAAGGAAAGTATTGTAAGACTTGTTTTTCCTGTGATTTTATAGTCTTTCGAAATTGTTCACTAAAAGTTAATATTTCTAAATTAAGCAGATAAAAAATTGTTTATAAAATGAGCAAAAAGCAAGCAACCTTGTTTCAGACTTGGACTCGGAGTCTGAGCCAAGTAGGAAAGTCTGACCCAGAATTTCGAAATCTGACGGGAAAGGGAAACGGTAGAATTGACACTAGCGTTAGAACAAATAGCAGTTTAACTTCAACGAGAAATAATTTTGATACATCTGAAATATGGAACGATTGCTTTGTGACAGAAAGCGATGATGAAAATGACAAAGCTCTTGTTCAAGCAATGGAGGAGAGTCTGTTGGAATATAAGAAAGAAAACTGCGTAAGTTGTAATAATCAGGTTTCACAGAGTAATAATAAAACTAGTGCATTTGAAGCGGAGAGTAGTTCTGCTTATTTTGGGGTTAACAGAAAAGGATCTTCTCGTGGGTGTAATCTTAGTTCTTACAATTTGGTCGAATGCATTGATGATAATGAAAATAATGAAATTTTTATGCAAGCTGTTGAGAAGAGTATGTTAAATGATGAACATACATTAAATAACACGTGGAAATCAAGTTACAGTGTAACAGGAGTAATAACAAAACAAATACCAAGTAGTACACCTTTAGAAAATCTTCCAGGATTTGACACAGAAGCAGGGAAAACCTGGATTTACCCAACAAATTATCCATTTCGTGATTACCAGTTTAAAATTGTTCAAGAAGCACTGCTGAAAAATACTCTAGTCATTCTACCAACTGGGTTAGGCAAAACCTTTATTGCTGCTGTAGTGATGTACAACTTTTATCGATGGTATCCTAGTTGTAATATTGTTTTTATGGCTCCAACTCGTCCTTTAGTGGCACAGCAAATAGAAGCATGCTTTAAAATAATGGGTATTCCTCAAGCAGACACTGTAGAAATGACAGGAAGTATGCTGCCTCAAGAAAGAAAGCTTGCTTGGGAAACAAAGCGGGTTTTTTTCTTGACTCCTCAAGTGATGATGAATGACCTAAGTCGGGGGGTGTGCCTAGTCAGCAATGTGAAGTGTATAGTGGTAGATGAAGCACACAAAGCTTTAGGTAATCACTCATACTGTCAGGTGATAAAAGAGTTAATAAACTGTTCAAAGCAATTTAGAGTACTGGCTTTAAGTGCTTCACCAGGAAGTGATCTGATGGCAGTTGGAAAAGTGCTAAAAAATTTACTAATTGCTCATGTAGAAATGCGAGCTGAAGATTCACCTGATGTTGTACCTTATACACATGAGAGAACTATTCAGAAGATTGTGGTCCCACTAGGGGAAGAGGTGAAATATTTTCAGAATTTGTTTCTTTCTGTCATTAATACATATTTAAGAAGATTAAATCAGCAAGGAGCCTTGGCATGCACAGATCCATCCAGTTTGTCCAAGTTCAAGGTTTTAAAATTAAGAGAAGCATTTAAACAAAATCCCCATGATAGAATACCTCGTAACTTACATGGATTTATTCATGCTAATTTTTCTTTATGTATTACACTGTATCATGCATATGAACTTTTGTTATTACATGGAATGACATCCTTTTTTAATTTTCTTCAAGGTGTGATTTCTGGTGAAAAATCACAAGCTCGTGTTAAAACCGAATTGATGAAAAATGCAGAATTTGTAAAAATGATGGAAAATTTAAGGAACAAGTTTCAGAATGGCACTGTTGAAGATTGTTTTCAGTCGTGTAATGCAAAGTCAAACATTAACCGTGGAAACCTTTTTCAGGAAACAGTAAAAGATTCAGAAATGCATGCAAATTTAAATTTCATTGGACATCCTAAACTAACAAAATTAAAAGAAATAGTTATAGAACACTTTGAAAAATGTCAGTCAGAAGCAGGAGAAGGAAACCCAGTTAATACACGTGTCATGATATTTTCACAGTACAGAGATAGTGTAAATGAAATTACAGAGTTATTAAATTTGCAAAGACCTTTGATCAAAGCAATGAGCTTTATTGGACAGACTTCAACAAATAGAAATAGCAAAGGTTTCACTCAGAAACAGCAGACAAAGATTATAAAGGAATTTAGGGAAGGAGGATACAATACTCTAGTTGCAACTTGTGTTGGTGAAGAAGGCCTTGATATTGGAGAGGTAGATCTCATTGTATGTTTTGATGCACCTAAATCTCCAATCAGACTCATTCAGAGAATGGGTCGTACGGGTAGAAAACGTCAGGGTAAAATTGTAATCCTAGTTACAGAAGGAAAAGAAGAACAGGCATATAATCAAAGTCGTTATAGTAAGAAAAGTATTCATAAAGCTATAATCAGTGGTAGAGCATTTCAAAGTTTGTATCCTCACAACCCACGTATGGTTCCCAAAGAGGTAAATCCTGTTTGTCATAAAATGTTTATGACTGTTGATACTTATAAAGCACAGAATGTAAATACACGAAAAAGATTTTTAAAAGATATTTGCCAGAAAAATGGTAAACTAAATCCAGGTAATAGTAATTCGATATTAAATGCTGAAGAACTTTTGTTTTGGAATACACATCTCAAGATACCTGAAAATGATATCTCAGTTTTGGATGCACCTTCATCATTTGTGACTCTTCCAGCGGCTGCAAATAATATTTCAGGATGTCACAAAACAAGGAAAAAACTCTCTCTGTCTGAATGGATACCATGGCAAAATGTAAAACAGCAAACTCATTTTGTTGAGCATTCATCAAAAACTCAGAATTTAGTTGAAATCATGCAATTTATGGAATTACAGGAACAATTAGGACCTAACAATGACCTCTATGGGCTAGAAATGAAAGTGTATCTGAGACCAGATGATGTATTGCAACCAGGTGAGAAAAATGAGTTCAGCAGCAAAATAAGAATGTTTATGAAACCTGATGGAAGAAATTTGGTGCAGAAATATATACAAAGACCAGAAAGTGAACCAAAACATGAAACTTTTAATGCATTTGTTGGGGAAAATTGTAAAAAGAAAAAACTGATGCAAAATACATTGCAGGAAAAAACAAAGAAAAAATCTAAAGCAAAACTAAGTGAAGAAAATAATGGAACTAAAGAAGGTAAAACACAACAAGATAAAAATTCTGTGAAACCAATACAGCATTTAACAGCTTTAATAGATGATGAAGATAAAGATTTCAAAGTTCCAGTGAAACAACTTCCAGATTCAGCAGAGCTTTCAACTAATGGTAAAAGTAGATCAAGTAAAGAGGAACGGTGTACTTCTTGCATAAAAGAACATGTGCCTGATGTTGAGCCTGTACTTGTGAATCCATGCCAGGAGGAGACATCTATTGATACAGAAATGCTAGAAAATCTGGCAATTTCAGCTGTAGATAATACTTACAGTATTAGTAAAGAAAGTAGTCCTGTTTTTGAATCTAAAGTTAAAGAACCTCCTTCATTAGATGATAATGTATTTTCACCAGAAAAGAGTATGCTATCACCTGTTAATCTGGACGAGGTTGTCACTTTTAATAATTTTATGATCCAAGAAGTACAAAAATCTGAAAAGTCTTCTAAGGATTTGGGTGTGTCTAAAGACATCTCTCTGGCACCTGAATGCAATCAACATGAGAAATTTCCACCAAAGACAAATGCTTCTTTGTCATTGACCCAAAATGAGAAACTGTTCTTAAAAGAAGGTACAAGTGTTTCACCAAATAATCAGAAATTGTTTACTTTTAATTACAAGGTTTATATTTCTTCTGAAAAGGTTAGTGATTTTTCATCAGAAATTTCAGGTGTTATAAATAGTGGATCTGTTGCCACTAATGTAAACAAAAATAATTGTTCCTCTACAGTACTAAATAAACAGAATGTAAAGGGCATAAATGATATGGTGATTACACCTGAAAGTAAAAATGATCTTTTTAGTTTGCTGAGTGAACCAGGATGTGTAGGTAAGGATGTTATGGACATAAATAATAAACCCAAATGCACAAGAAGAAAGGCTTTTGATGGGAATAGTAAACCAGAATTTTCAGAAGATGATTCTGTAGATGTGAATAGTAAACTAGAATACTCAAGAAAGAAGACTTTGGATGATGATAAACCAGATTGCGTGGGAAAGAATATTTCAGATAATTTACTTAAACAAAGATATACAAAGCAAAATACTTCTGATGTGAACAATAAACAAGAATACAAAGCAAAGAGTGCTTCAGACATGCTGAGTAAACCAGTGGGAACAAATATTTCTAATATACTGGAAAGGTCAGAAGTAAAAAGTGATCCTTATGTCACTGGTAAACAGAAAGAAAAAATACTTGTAATACGTTGAGTAAGTCACAAGAAAAGGATAGTTGTAACCTTGGTGAAAATGGAACTGAATCTTCTGATTTGTTAAGTAAATCAAAAGATCCAGTTAGCACTAAAGTACTATACAAAGATAAAACTTTACAACATTATACTGAGAATTTTCCTCCATCTTCATTCATAGCTAATCATAGCCAATCTGAGAATGGTTTGACTATGACCCAACTGATAAGTTTTCTTAACAGTTCAGAGCTAGCCACTCAAAATGTATTTTCTCCTCCAAGAATACACCAAGCAAGTGACGGTGACACACTTAAAGTCTCAGTGCATACTGAAGCTGACTGTAAAGATTTTCAAACACCCATGATTAAGTTTACCAGTATTAGTGAAGCTGAAAAAACAAGTCCTGCCAAAAATATTGAAGACTGTAAAGGATCAATTGAACATGCATATTTAAAAAAGGAACATGAAAATAAAGATAACAAAAGTGTTTTTAAGTCTGACTGTGCCGATTTTGATCTAATGTTTGACTTGGATGAAATGGAAGATCTTGATTTGGATGTGTTAAATGATATAGAAGAAGAAATGATTCCACCTTCTCCAGTTGCTTCATCTAGCACATCTGATGCACCAAAACAAGCAAGGAAAAAACTTTCTTTGAATAGAAATGGTAGCTGTAGAAAACTCTATAGTTCTAGTGATGAGAGTGGATGTACCCCTTTTATTCCTCATCCTATCAAAGATGAAGAAACATGTGTTAACAAAAACACTAAAAAACTTGATCAGCTTACTAAGTCACAGGGATTCTCTTTTGAAAACCTTATAGTTGAGAATAATAGAGATATGACTTGTAAAGACACCATGGCCCCAAATTTTACAAAGATTCAAAGTGCCAATACAGAAATAAATGTTCTGCCTTCCTCTTCCCCTAAAATTGGAGTAGTGAAACCATTTCACAGATCTCCTAGTAAATCCCCATTATTCTCTCCAATTATTGCTCAAGATCAGCCATCAGAAAATGACTCTGTTGTCATAAAAAGATCCAGAAAAAGGGGCCATAATATAATCAATTCATCACCTAGCTCATCAGAAGATAGTTCATTAAGTAACTGCCAAACACCTTTTAAGCAAGAAAAAGTACATAGCCAAGACAGTGATGACTTTGTTCCATCTAAACCATGCAAGAGTTTTAGAGTAAGTTGCAAGGTAAATTCAATGAACACTAGTAGTATTGATGATGTGAAAGCTACAAAGCTTTTCCCAATTGAAAAAGGACAAAGGAATAAGTTTTCAAGACAAGGAGAAGGTTTGGAATTTTTGGATTTAGAGGCACAAGTATCAGATGAGGAAAAGGCACATTCTGAAGAAGAAAATGAAGATAGCATTTTAGATGAATATGAATCCAGTTTCATTGATGATTTAGAAGATAATAAAATATCCCAACAGCAGGTTGGTAAGAATGATGATACAACACACATTATGTATCTACGTTCAATCAAGAGCCCTATTGTCCATCAAGGGCAGTATAAACTTAGGTACAATTTAAATGCTGATGTTGATGTTTTTTCACAGATATCCTCGCCCAATCACAGTGAATATGTTGAGGACAGTTTTTGTGTAGCAAATGACTGTGTGGAATATGAAACCAGTCCTTCAATACTGAAACCTCAAACCCTAAAAAGGCCACAATTACTGAGAAAGAGAAGAATTGTTATGATGGATGTGTCTAGTGAGGAAGACGAAGAAGAAAAGATACCACCTGCCTTGATAGAAAAGTTTGAGAAAAATAATCACTTAGAAACCATTAAGGATTTGAAAGCTACCAGTGGCGTTACTGAATATTCTGAGCCATACAAAGTGATTGGCAAAATGTCAACAACACTTAGCAGTGATCGTCAGCAAAATGTTCTGCCATGTCAATCAAAATGTGTTTCAACTTCTTTGCAATCTCATGTTAAAGCAAGCAAACCATCCAACTGTCAGATAGAAAAAGCATTTCTTAAAGATTACTCTGATAATTTTAATGCTACTCGGGAATTTGCACTAAGTCATGAAACCAAACTATTATCTAAATCTGTAAATGAAAGTAGGCCAGTCATGAAGGATGAATTGCGAAGTCTCCAAAACGTTGTTCCTAAGATTGATATTTCTGTGTCTTGTAATACTGGACTAAGGGTTGATCAGTTAACCTGTTCAACTAATAAATTAAAAACTTATCCTAATCCAAACACAGAGATCTCCTTTCAAGAAGAATTGAGAAAACAAAGGTTATTACGACAGAAACAGAAAAAAGAAGAGTTTTTGCAAAAGTTAAATGATAAAAAGGACAGTTGTACATATCAGAAAACAATATCAAACACAACTGGTACTAATTCTAATGCATTGGTAAAGTTGAAAAGGGAAAGTGATACAAGTGTGGTGTTTAATAAAAAATCTTTCCAGGTGGTATCAGAAGCTAGTGGACTAACTGTAATCTCTTATGACACGAGAAAGTCAGAAGTCATTCCTCGGGATGTTCATTTTGATAGTTTGCTTAAAAAAAGGTCAAGTTTCATGAGTCCAGCCTTTAATAAGCAGAGGATAACAAACAGTATTTTACCAAACAACAGTTTATCACAAGTTTCATCACCAAAGCAGACTTTGTGTGATCTTAGTGCTCAGAATATTAAAATGTCAGGTAATTTAACTACAATTCCCAGTGTGACTGGATTAATGGACAGTGTTAATAACTCTGTAAAACATGAAAAGAAGTTAGTTATTTTAGTTGACTCAAGAGAAATCAGTAGTGGTCACATGGTTATGTCCTGTCTCAGGTCTAAATACAAATGTAAAACAGCAGTACAGCAGTTAGTTTATGCAGACTATCTTGTTAGTAATCGTTTAGGGGTGCATCGTATTGTGTTAACAGAGTTTGCCAATGGACAAAATCGTTCTAAACTCCTCGAGACTGTTCGGACAATGTGTGATTTATATGATAGACCTTGCTTGATCATCGAAAAGGAGAAAGTAAAACAAGATGAGAAACCAAAGATCTTCCACAGAACTAAGTATTTTGATAATACATTGTCTCAGTTGGTGCAGACTCATGTGAAAGTTATTTACTCTGACTCTCAAGAAGAAACTGCTGCTTTGCTCTTTGACTTGGTCCAACAAGAACATCGAAAGGGATGGGATTTACCTCTCTTACCGGGTCCAAACGTAAAAGTAGAACAGGTATTACAATTCTACTTAACCATTCCATGTGTTAGCTATGCCACAGCCTTAAATTTTTTTTATTCTTTCTCTTCAATTAAACACTTTATGGAGAGTTCAAGAGACAAACTTCAAAAAGCTGGTAAAATTTCTCAAGCAAAGGCCACAGAAATTTATAGGTTTCTCAGAGTTTTGATTATGGATTTGAAATAGATATTCTATTTTCCAAAGTGTAATATATATATATAAACTGTACAAATGTATAATACAATTATATACGGTTATTTCTACATAAATAGGTTGCATTTGTATACAGAACTGTTACAGTATAAATTGACTTCTTTTGTCCTGTTGTCTAAAATACAAAGTACATGTTAAATGCATCAAATAACCTTTTTCTTACTGTGGTAACAACTAATAAGGAAAATTTATTAATGTTTTGGAGGCTTCTGAGATAATTTTTTTCTGAATTGTGTTTTAAAAATTAATAAAAGTGACTGGTCTAGAAAAGTTTAATAATCAATTTAGGATCTGATTAAAGTGTCACTGGTCAGTGGTTTATTTAAATCAGGTGTGCAATACTAAATATAGGGTGTTCTTACTACAAACACAAATAAATGAATGAACAACTTTGATATTATTTTTACAAGACGTTTTCCTTTCTTAAAGCAAGTGTTCGTAGTCTTCATCTTCCTGATTTATGCATAGTAGCATGATTTCTTGTTCTCTGTGAAAAAATAGTTTACTTTTTGGTAATTCTACAAGTCATTTCAGCAGTCGGCAAGTGCAACCATTAACAAGTTTTAAGAACAAACAGAATTAAGAAATTAATGTAATGAGAAACAAGTGAGATGAAAAAATCCTTCAGTAAATTTACTTATGGTTCATCCTCAGTTTGATTATTTTCTGTCTGTAACATTCTTTTATATTAATTTTAAACAAATACATTGGTATTTAAAGTATTTGGTAGCTGCAAAATCAATCTCTTAAACATTTCAGTTTTAACTGAAACCATTAGGTTATAGACATTTTTCTTGTTGCTTTGAATCAATAGTTGATTGTTTGTATAACTGAGAGAGTAACATTCTTTAATATGAACTTAACAATAAAACAACGAAACTCAAGTATCTCAAAAATTCAAAGATTGAAATGTTGATTTCTCTGTGTGACATTTTTGTGAAATATTGTAGTATGTTGCAGGTTCTGTGTCTTCAGAAGTAATTTGTATCTTTAATACCAAACTTTATGGTTTCAAAACAAGTATTTATGGCACATTTATGGCTTATTAATAATGTGTGATAAACCCAACAACTACAAAAATGAATATTTTCTGGTTTGTTTTGGTCAGAAAGTAAAACTTAGAATGCTTAAATATCTGAGATAAGTTACTGCATTACAACTAATGCAAACATTGTGATTTCATGTGTTTTATTATTATTATAACGTGACTAAACTTTGCTATTTTATTTGTTTAATCTGTATCAAGGAGAAAAGAAGCATTAAAGATGTACATTTTTCCAGTACATGAGCTACCTGTGCTTTATTTATTAAAATTTTTACATTCTTGATCTGTTTCCAACATTTTGAGCATTGTGAAACCCTATTAACATAAGCAAAATCCTCATGAACCCCAACCTTATTATTCCCTAGCCAAAAGGCCTGTGATAATTTTTTTAAAACTGTTTTAAACAGTTTAATTTTTAATGGATGTAAGAAACATCCCAAGGAAGTGATCCTCAATTCTTTTTTGGGTTATTATAGGAAGCAGTGTAGAACTAATGAATTTGAAAACACTAGTTGACTACATATAGTTTAAATAATGTATATAATAAATTACTGTATCCTCAGGGACCATTTTTGTTGAAGAGAAAAAAGATGATATGAGAAACATTGTTATTACTACATAAAACTGCTATGAAAATTTTTGAGCATGCTACAAGCCTTGAACAAATCCCCCACCCCTACACCTACTGACATGTGCTAATTTATTATGTAATCATCATTAAACTATAGACCCTCACCAATTGGAAGGCAACACATCCACCATGTGTTGTAATCCCCTTGAGCTAGCATTTGAATAAAGGTTCATTCTTTCTTTAGCACTGCTTGTCTTCAGACATGTTCAAATTTGTTTCTTTGTTTTTAGAAATGCAGGATTTTTGCATTGCTTTTATTTTTTTAAATTTTCAGTTAAACATTGTTTTTATTTGAGTATTTTTACTGTCTACTTAACTTATTGCTATTCTACATAAGAAAATGTTATTTGGATCATTTTGACAATGAATTCCCAGATTCATTTTTCTACTACCTTCCAAGGTTCTGACAATCCACTTCTGGAGCCCACTCCTGCCTGTTTCTATGGTGACTGGAGACACTGTGACAGTTAGCAATGTTTCTACCATTGTGCACTAAGTATTTGGTTCTATTCTTTCTCCTTCATCTCCAACCCAGGTTTCTCCACCTCCTGTTTTTGTTGCTTTGACTGAGCCTGTCTTATCTCAATGACTGTTCCCTCACTTGCTTCTGTTTCTTCTCTTCCTTGTAACCCCACCTTCATCCTTTACTGCTTTGATTACTCAGTAACATTCTTTCTGTTTTACTAGTTGTTTTTGATGAGTCTTGGGTTACATTGCTGCATGAGTCTCCTTCTATCTTCTTTTTGCTTCCTCCTCAGATATATGTTCATATTAATACCTTTTTGTCTCAGCTTTGCATTAACTTCCCAGCAGTGTTGTCCTCCTTATCTTTCTGGCACTTTTTCTATGGCCTACAATCAAGATTCTTCTACTTACCTTGAGATTCAGTCCCTTGAATTTCTCCTTCCAGCTTCAGGATCTTCCCCTTCTAGTTTGTCTTACTCATCTTGAGTCTTCTTATCTTGCTCTTACTCAGCTCCTTCACTATTTGTCTACACTTTATATTCTCTCATAAGTTCTCCATTTTAACCCCAACAGCTTCACTGGTGTCAGTGACATCTTCGACATCTTGGCCTCAATCTCTTCTTCTGCAGTGTCCCAGTTCAAATGGTTTCTTTGTTTTTGAGACTTGCCTTGAGATACTTTATTTTTGGGTGTTCACTTCTCTCATTCTTATCTCAGGGACCTCCATCTGGCTACTTTCCTTTGAAATGAAGTTTGGAGGTGTTTCTTACACTTTGGAAGCTTGAATGGATGCTGCTTGTCAGTATTATTTTCTTATTACTTTGGTTTCTCCAATTTCTTGGTCCATGGGGTCCTGAAAGGTTTCTCAGCCACTTGAGTCTTGCCTCTTCTGTTCCTTATCCTATTGCTCCCTCTCTTGGAGGGCTGGTCATTATGGGTTGCGGAGGTGACTTGTTTTTGGAGCTGCCTCTCAGTTCCAGTCCAGTGGGAGTTTGGATCTCCCTGTTTAAAACCTGTGAACTCCCTATGTAGACGATTTTTGGGTCACACAGGTGCTTTCTCATGGACTTTCCCTATTTTCTCACACTCAACTAGTCTTTCCTTCTCCAGTTGCCTTTCCACCCTCTCAGATTCTGTGCACTTTTGACACCTAAAGGAGGCTGTGTCTTCTCCATGGGTTATGAATAATATAACATAGGTCCTAAACCCCTCAGTTTTTATGACCTTTTTTATTGCTCTAAAAAAAGACGAGATTGGTGTCCTGTCATATATCTCTCATCCCTGAACCAATTTATTGACATTCCTTGATTCAAGTTAGATGGTCCCCCAAAGGGACAGTGGTACATCTTCAGATTTACATAGTTAAAATCAGGGGTTTGATTCCCCTTGGTGTACACAGCAGAGATAGACTAATGTGGCTTTGCTATAAGAAAACATATACACACACACACAAGATAGATTGTTTTTTTTTTCAATCTGAGTTGATTGTTCTCTTCTGGGTTGTGGTTGACCAAAGTCAGTGTTTCAGATGCTTTTCTACACATCACAACATGTATGTCCACCTGTCGCTATCTCTGGCTTGTCCACGACAATGACATTATTCATGTGCATGCTTTTACCTTTGAGCTAGCTATATCTTTGTACTTTTTCAATTGGGACATGACATCATTCTCACAGCAGATACATTTTTTAGGTCTCCATTTCCACTACTATAGGAACAAATGACTCTTCTACCATACAAAGATCTTTCCATGGTGGTAACCTCCCTCCTCCTCCTTTGAAATAATTTTACCTGAGTCGGCTACTCAAGTTCATAAAGTCTGAACAGATCCCCATTCAGTATATAGTTCACTTGGGAGTCTTTTTTTTTTTCAACTTGGGTACATGGTAGGCTCAGCTACCTTCTTTAAGTCTTTCAGACATGGAGCTTCTGGTTACCAAAGTTTTTGTCTCCTACTCTTTCTCCAGGGGAAGTTCAATTGCTTTTGGTAGTGGCTGTGACCGAGGCTCCTGTTCTTTTCAGATGTGCCTATATAAATCCCATTCTTTGGAACCTCTCTGATCAGTAAATATGTTGATTATTTTTATCTCTAGTATCTTCCCCTATCCCCATCTCTCACTGTTGTGATAGCTTGATCAATATCACATAACATTGGGTAGCCCTCTCCCAACTACCTCGCCAGGACCTGCATCTGTTCACTGATGCCTCACTTTCTGGGTGGGAGGCAGTTCTGTATACCTAAACTATTCAGGGTATGGACTCCAGAGAAGCTTTCCATTTATATCAACATCTTAGAGCTTTTGGTTGCTTATTGAGTTTGTTGGCACCTTCATTCTCGTTCCTGGTCATCTTATGATGATCCATTTAGACAACTCCACTGTTTTGTCTTACATCAACTAACAGGGACACAATCTTGGACCTCTGCTTTCTTGTTCTGGATTTCCCTTTTTATGCCCATGACCACCACATTTGGTTGCAGCTTGTCATGTTTCATGCTTTGAACCTGGTGACAAATCGATTACCTCACTTGTGCTGCCTCTCCATCCTCTGTGTTTCAGTGGATTTGTTCTCACTTTGGGAGTCCTTTCATCAATGTCTTTGTGACTCACTTCAACATTAAGTTTTCTATTGTCTGGTCACCAATTCAGGACTCTGCAGTTATGGCAGTAGAGGCTCTGAGCCAGGATTAGATCAGTCTTTTCTTTTTGCCTATCTTCAACTTTATGTCAGAGCTCGCTTTTATCCCTTTCAGGTCCTTCTCACTGCTACCCTTTGGCCAGCTCAGTCACTTTTTCTACCCTTATGCTTGTTGATGCCCAGAGAGGTTTTTCCACCTAGGTTCCTCTTACAACAGTCTCATATGCCCATCTTTCATTATGAGATGTCTTGCCTTAATTTTTACATAGGGGGTTTACCTAGTCCCTCATCACACAAGGGAGTTTTTCTTGCAGAGTAGCCTGTTTTCTGGCTTATTCTTCTCACTCATTGGTTCTTATACTAAAGGTTAATTTACTTTATTTCTTTTCTCTCTTTGAAAATGCATACTATAAATAATTGAATTTGAAATTTATATAAATAATATCAACATGTTTCTCAATATAAATAGTATTCCATTTATATATCCTGGATTGGATTATTTCATTTTCCGATTACTTTTCTGTCCTTCCTCATACACGTCTAATATCACAGATCCAGGAACTAAATATATGTGAAACCAGTAAACTGATATGATAAATTCATTTTTGATAAATATTTATTTAAATACAAACTTCTAGAAATTTGTATGCTTCATAATAATAAACGTTAATGATGACCCTGAAAGCTTAAGTGTTAACTAAATGGGTTTATGTTGTAACGTTTCGGTTCAAGGATCACTTCAAGCAAAGAATGTAATACAACTGACTATAGCAGAGAACAGTATGGAATTTTAACATAACACGAAACACGCAGGCGCGAAGCAAGTCTGCAATAAGTAACAAAATATAAATCAAACCTTGTTAGCGAGGTATAAAAGATATTAAAATGCCATTATCTTAATTAATTTTCTAGACATTATTACTATAGAGAACAATGGATGTTTTTCTCAAGAATTATATCCGAAACTAACACACGATGGTGTACCTTTCAACTTTTCTTCCACCCATTCTACTGCTTTAAAGGAAACGGTAGCTTATTCGTAATTTATATGTGTCCAACAACTCTTCGAATGTTTTCGTTTACGGATTTACTGTTCAGTTAGTGATACCTGAAGAAGGGCATTGTCCGAAACGTTGTATCCACAAGTGTATATATGTAGTTAACTCCTTGATGGTTTGACCTACAACATCTTTTTTATCTCTTTCAACAACCACAACGCGTAATTTCCTATACAGTTTTATCACTCTTTACGACAGTTCATAAGGGCGAACAACTGCAATAGATCCATCTAAGAGCAGATATCTAATACAGAGCGAAGAATGAAACTGTTTAAACTGATCGAGCAATAAGCTGAGAACATTTGTACTGATATACAAAAACCAAGTCTAAATGTGCAACAGAAACAGTGGCTAGTAATCAACACCGAGAGATCTTGAAATTACGACCGTAACAACATTTTAATATGAATAATATACTTGAAATATATATATAATGTATAAAAATGAAGGTACTTACACATATAACTTTTTATATTTTTTGTTTTATACTTCGTTAACAATGTTTTATTTATATTTTGTCTCGCTCAGCACCTATATTTCTCGTGTTTATGTTCAAATTCCAACCAATTCTCTACCATAGTCAGTTGTATTTTGTACTTTGCCTGAAGTAGGCCTAAGGCCAAAACGTTACAAAATAAGTCCATTTAGTAAGTGTGTAGAAAGCAATTTTATCCATATTTTTCGTTGTTGAAGTTTATTAAAGAATTCCGCTCTTAACAGAGCAGTATCTTTGACTGATGAAACACGTAGTTTGGGCTGGTTTTTACTTTGTTTATAATTCATTGAAAGTAAACCAATGTATACGGGATACTTAAACATGCATATCAAAATTTTTTGTAACATTTGATGATGATGATGGAAAATAAAGTAGTACTGAAAATTGACACGTAAATCTTTTTTTTTTGAAAAATATTATGAATAGGACACAACTCAAATATTCTTAACTAAATAGTGGAACTGATTGTCACAGTTATAATACCTTCAAAGTTAGAAGTGCTGGTTTAATACTTAGATCTTCCAAGCCACAGCTAGACAGTAACAATGCTTGACTCTTGTTAAACAAGTCATTTATATATACACACACGAACAGAACATGTCACATTATCGTAATTCCCCACCCACAAATTAGAAACACAAAATCTTTGAATATATGAAACCTCTATTCTTACCAACTACAGTACCTCACTGAAGTTTCTTAAAACATTTGAACCTATATACATTATAATTAGTTCATAATATGTTTGTATTAGTCATCTAACACCTCCCATTTCTTTCCTACTAACTCAAAGTTTTGCTCCACATTCACCAGGGTGTATCACATATTGTAAACAAAATATCTGCATACAACAAAGTTCTATATTTTTAAAAAATCCCCTCAAAATCAATTAAGTTTTAAACAGTCCTTACAGTAAACATTCAAAACTGAAATTTGCACAAAGATTGAGTTACTTGAAAATGACAGCAATAGCAAATACCATTTAATAGCTATTTCATAAGCTAATATAATGGAAGTTTCAAGTTTTGCACATTTTCAAACGTAAGTACACAAAAATTCGAGATATTAGACTCTTGCGTTTTTATTTCTCCTAAGCTAAAAACAACCTCTTATATTCAAACAATATAGAAGTGTCTTTCAGTAAAGAAACTGGACAATAATTTGTGTTAATAAAAGAATTTATTTTCCAACTCTCCCTGAAATTCAGTGGGTTACTGAAAAATTAAAACTGTACATTTATACAGTACTATACTACAGCCAATACTATCCATGCATATCCCAAAAGGAACATTTACTAACAAGTTACCATTTAACATCTAACAGAACCATTTTATGAAATTTTATACATTAAAATATTCAGTTTTATCTGACAATTTTATCATAGAAACAATTAAATTTTCAAAATTTAACAACATTCATTACCTTAGACATATTTAGTATTAACATACCTAAATTTAACTTTAATAATAAATATGCTCAGTAAATAACATTTTAATACCTTGTTTTTAAACACTCAAGTAATTCTGATGACTTTTAGAGAAAAAAGAATTAAGCTTTAACATCAATGGCTTTCTTGATATTTATATATAATCAAACTTTCTGAAACCTTCTTAATTTTCTAGGATCTTACAATAAGAAAGGAGGGTTTAAGTTTTACACTTGTATGCATAGCAAAGAATACTGCTTATTGTGAGTAAAACTGTGGTTCTACAACTTAATGGATTAAACATGTTTAAATGAACAGCATGTTATTTATAAGTAAAAGATTAAAACCTTTTAGTGTTAATGAAATTATACCAGATAATCATAGTAGCGAGTTTTAATTCACTGAAATTTGTATGAAGATGAATGCATGGCATCAACATGCATTTTTTGTTGAATAAGTGAAATGTTGTTGTATAGTTTTAAGTTTCAAAATTGTTACAAGTCCTTTAAAAGAGACATGAATAAAAAAAAAAGATGACTGTATTTAAATGTTAATAAATGTTTGGTGGAATTCATTATTATCATTAGTTTGTTTTACCACAAAGCTGTGCAATGGGCTATCTATACCGTGTCTGCTGTAGGGATTGAAACCCAGATTCTACTATTATAAGCTCTGAAACTTAACACTGAGCTACTGAGGGCCACATCAATAAAGAATAAAAATGTTAATCAAACAAGCCACATTTCTGAATCATCTAGATTTGAAGAAAACTAATTATCTTTAGTTATATTAACCTGCTGAACAGTACACTTAAAAAACTGGATGTAAGTCAATGAATGAAATTTAAGTGAATCATATTGAAAACAAAGACAGAATGCTAGAAAATCTGGAAATAACTGTGAAACATCTTCTGGAACTAGGTTAAAAATTGTCCAACTCAAGATGATACTTGTGAAATGGGAGAAAACTACTTTTTGTTTCAAAAACTGGGAGATGATGGCACTTAATTGGAGTAAAATTTACATAAAGTCACTATCACAGTACCCTTATTAATATGCAATATAGGACAAGTATTTTAGGGAATGACAGAACTTTGTACATTAATATCAAATGGTTACTGCTCACAGAAAACATTTTTATTTATATGTACTTATTACTACAGTAACACTATTCCCACACAGCAACAACACCTGAGAAATACACAGTGATACCATAATTCCAAAGAAACCTTTTTTGTGTATCTCCAGTATATGACAATTTTACAAATATTTTGAGAGATATAAAATTCAACAACATTCATGAATTTTAAAAAATATTTTTTATGTAAAATATTATACTTTTATTTTCACATCTGTTCTCATACCTAGCATTTTAAGGGATTGTTAGATTACATACTGAAAGGAATGGTACATTACATCACAAAAATTTTTTCAAATGTAAAATTAAATTCATGACATGAGGCAGTCTTGGTCCACTTTATAATTGATATTACAATATCTGAAAGTGGATCACATGGCTTTAGTAATGGCCAAAATATTTTTATACCTACCCAATACATTTTACTGTATTCATATATATCTCTATACATATATATAAATTTTATTAAATCATCAGCACAGTGTATAATTACACCTGACTTGTAACTTGACAATTTTTACTAACAAACTCACTGAAGATATTTTACACAATGTTTAAATGAAAATACAGAACCTTAACAATTATAAAAGCTACTATTCTGATTTCCTGATACACTTGTATTTGATTTACAAAGAAACTAGATATATATATATATCTCACAGGAAAAGTGTCTTATGGATTTTAAACAAATTCATTACAAAAACATGTTCACCTACATTGTATAAGACTCACTTTTTGTACTACTCGCTTGCATCACAAAAACTATGGAAGCCACCAATTTCTCTTTGCAAATGTTCAGTGTAAAAATAGGACCTCAGAAGTTATGAAAACCAAACTTAAAAACTTCGTGGCTTAGGCACTACGGTAATTATTACTTGTACAAAAGTTACACGCTTTACGGTGTATGTGATAACAGTTTTGCAAACATGAACAAAGTTGATTCACAATATCAGATTGAATTATGACAAATCAAGACAAAAATTATGTGTTTCCACTTCATTCTTTTTATGATATCAGAAACATTTAAAAGTCTTGGAAGAGTCGGGATACAACACCTATTTTTAAATTAATGTTATCCATGGTACAAGTCTAGATACTAAAAATAAAGATGTTTTAAGTGTTTCAATGTTCAATAACATATAAATATTGCAAAGAACTTTAAGGGGGAAACATCATAATACATAATGAGGTTACAAGCCAATGCAAAGCTTTAAGATATACCTGTTTTTAACTCCCAAACAAAAACAAAAACCATTTCTTAAACAACTAAATTAACGTTAACAAACAGATTTTCTGCTCCTGATAAATTGAGCAAAAATTTATTGATGATGTTTAACCATTATGATTTTTTTTTTCTACCATTTACTGAAGGGGAAGCTTCATTATTTAACATAGTTGAGTTTGGCAGCAGTGTGAAGTTGTCAGTGGTTACTAACTGGTAAACGGGTCGAAGAAGCTGAAAGACAGAGTTTCAACACACGTGAAATAATTATAGACATCTAATGCACAATATCAAGAGTAATAATTTTAGTTGGAAAATATCATTTTAATTTCTTTATATATATACATATACTTACACACTAGCCACACTGACAACAACAAATTATTGGAACTTACTTAAAACATTATGGTTGATAGAAAAGATACCCATGTAGGATTTAACAAAAGTAAATTACTGATTCTATCTTAAACCACTTCTACACACACGACTTTATTTACTCTAAGATTTTCAAGATACTAAAAAATGTAATGCTGTTAAATATATCATCATTAAACAATCTAACCCTAACTGTTTACTATTCTCAATGTAATTCTGTATTAGTAAAACACCCTACTTACATTTTCCCATATACAATTTGCAAAAGCATCTATATGACATCCTAACTCCTGCATTTCTCCACTGTATCTGTGTAGAGTAAAAAAAGAAGAAAAACATTAATTTTTTTCTAGTGAATGTTTGAAACTGTAAAAAAAAATTACATTTTTTGCACATAGATATTTTCATATCTATACTTATTCTTAATAAGAAAACAAAACTTTCATACACAACAATACTAATCATCATGTAAGTATCTTTTGGTCCTAACTAATACACACATATAGGTGTCAACAAAATAAACTACACAAGGTTTCTCCACGTTAATAATTACTTTATTGTATACATGGTCAACTACACAAATAAAAATTTCAACTGCAGTAAATGTATTAACTTTCAAAATACAACCATGAAAAAGCTATATTTTGGTAATCATTTTAAGTATTCTTCAACTCTGCACATAATCATACCTCCCACCCCCCTCCAATAACACTTTTAAATTTAAAAGTTTTCATACTTTTTTTGCACCACCATGTCTTTTATGGCCAAGTTTTAATTTCCAATATTCTCAATCATGACAGAAAATAAAAACAATCCATAGAAGAAGGCAAATTTACAAAATAATAAAAATGTATTCATATACAGAGAGTTAAGTATGTTATATGAAAATACATTTGAATATGTAACTTGGCAAGTCATATAACAACTGCAACCAATATAACTGTTGCAGTGGAAACTTAATGCATCAGAACTACACTTTGACATTGTTTGACAATTTGTAAGTAGTGTGATGCTAACAAAAACTAATTGCTTTTGGGAAGAGTAAAGGGATTTCATTAAATAAAAAAAATTAAAAATTTCAAACCCCCTTCACAATTTATCCCAAAAATGTAAGGAAGCATTTGTGATATTGAGGAGGGACAGAATGTTATGCTTGGCCATCTTGCCCCATTTTTTTGAAGCATTAACATTAGTCTAGTATTGTGTGCATATATGTGTATATTTTTCTTTACATATTGTCACCTATAAACAAGCAGGATTTGGTTGTTCTGCAGAGGACAAAGGTTGTTATTATTAATATTATGGTTGACCACATTCTTGGTAGTTTCCAATACACAATTCAAGATGTATTTTACTTAAACAAGAATCCCAATTCTGATCTATGAAAAAATTCAAAGGAAAAGACCTGGTTCAGTATGACATCATCCACTGTTCAGTTGGAAATAAAGATGGGGAAAACGCAAGTAGTGTAAACAAGTACTATCCAATCATCCTTCAATATTTGTTGGATGTCCCATCACGAGTATAAATTATTCAAACTTGAAAGCTGGAATTTTTTTGCCGAGACATGAATAAAACAAACTGGCATGACTATATGTGTGTATTACACACATTTGTGGACAAGATTTCCCAGTAAAATATACTGACTCTCTGGAATAATGTTCCTGTACTTTTCAAAAAATTTCAGTATTTTCAATAATTTTTGTGAATGAACTAAATACTGCATTTTCTAAATAAAATCCCTGTGTTCAGATTGAGAGTTTAGAATTTCCAATAAGGTAACATCCCTTTGTACTTAACAGCACTAGAAAACAAAGAAATATGGATCACCATAGGGTACCAGAATCATCCACAAAGAGACCTGCAACAAATTGTACCTCAATAGGTACAAATCCATAAACACAAATAGCATTTGCAAAAGTTGTCCACATGTCCCACACTAAAATATACAGCATAACAAAAAAAAATGGATCTTTGTATGGAAATGAAGTCAACAGGATATAGATTCACCATAATAAGATTTCCAGCCATACCTCCCATTCAACCACCACATACCTCAAGCAGCTGGAAGTTGAAATGAGTAATCATGTTATTCCATGTAAAAACATACTGGTCAATCACCAAATGCAGTGCCTAAGGAATTTTGTCAAATTAGAATGTTGAAGCAGGCTCTTGAAAACAGTTGTTCTCATACACTAGAATGCTTATGAAAAGCAAAGAGGGAGAAGTGGTGTGCTTTGGAAATGATAGCCTTATAACTGAGAATTTTGCAATGGAAACTATGCAGCACATCTATTGTCAAGATGCTCTGTTATCACATTAAGCATCATCAGACATGATGAGGCTCCAACTGTGATTAAGTATTCATTTCTAAATTAATATCTTTTAACATCTACATGCATGAATAATTACTGCCTGTTAGTTTCAGGTTTTTGGACAAAAGCTACACAAGATAGACAAGTGGGAAGGCAGCTAGTCAACAACACCCTCCACAAGTTCTTTGGTTACACCTTATGTTTAAAAAGTAGGATTTGATCATCAATCTTATAGCAGTCCCATAGCCTGAAAGTGCATAATGCATTTTTGCAGCAACAGATTGCAAGCAATGAACCCTTGGAATTACAGTCTAGATTGCATACTACTAAATCAAACCAAGCTCATTTCACATTGGAAAAAGTGTGATTAAACCTAGAAAATATTAGCCAAAAAAAGTTTAAAACTAAACTTAAGAAAATTAAATTAATTAATAAACATTTCATACAATATCAGATAAAGTAAAGACTATTTATTTGTCCCATCTCTATATTAAAGAAAAACTTAATTACTTTAGTGTGAAAATAAAGTATCGATAAAATACTGTAATACATTTGATCCTCACACGTTAAAGTTAACAGGATTGTCAATAGGCTACTTGTATTTATTCCCAGGCTACAAATACAATGATATGACAAGTGTAGGAGTTAAGCGCTCACAGTTTGTTAGGTGTAACTGGTGCAATGAACGGGTCTTATTTGGAAACTCGGGAATGGTAAGTACTTTTAAGGAAGCTAGCTGTGAAGATGTGCTATTTGTTTGTAGATTGGAGGAGAAATTGGAGGCTATCATAATTAAAGTAGAGGCAATAGATAAAGAGAAGTGTTGGAAATGGCAACAGGATTTCAAGAGGAACTTAAGCTTTTACATGCAAGGGATACATCAGCTAATAATAACTTTCAGAAAGTTAGAAACGGTACTATTAGGGTTAAGTAGTAGATTTAACTGTAATGAGCATGCTCTATATAGCTAGAGATTTCAACTTGTTCAGATGAGGAAGTATTAGAGAGAAGGAAAACAAAACGAGACAGAGAAGTATGTGAATGATAAACTTAAGGAGGTTCTACTTACAGATGATTCGTTGGTAAAGCATGTAGATAGGATAGTCCGTGGGGGTAAATAGGGAGAAAAGAATTAGATTATTCTATCCAGGGACACAGGTGGAGGATATAACTGACAAAGCAACAGATATAATAAAGGGGTCTAGCAATGATGCAGTTTTTGTCATGCACATAGGAGCTAATGCTTTAGGGAAAGGTAGGTCAGTGGAGCTAATTGATAAGTACAGGGGGTTGATAAGAGTATTTAAAGAAAAGGGCCATAACTTAATTTTGTGTCAGGGATACTGCTAAGAATTAATTGTAGGGATGAAGTTATAAGTAGGTCACTTGGGCTGAATGCTAGGCTTAGGTTAATATAGGCTGATTAGATGTTTGGACTTGTGGGATAAGTTCAATGGGAGAAAGGAGCTTTTTGGAATGGATAACTTACATTTAATTAAGGTAGTGGCTGCCTTGTTTGCAAGGGCTATTAACTCAGTTGTAAGGGAAGTGAGGGCTAAGATAAACTAAATAGAGAAAAAAAAGTGTAGAGAAAAGTTTAGCATAGAAACAAAGTATAGTAGATTTGTTACTACTGTAATACTATAAGTATAAGAAATAAAATAGATGACTAGATCATTGGTAGGATTTTGATGTAATGGGAATAACTGAAACATGGTTAAACGTAGACAATTTTGATTGCAGAAATATGGGGTTATTTAATACGGATAGAATACTAAAGAGAGGGTGCAGGAGTAGCTTTAAATGAAAAATGTGAATTACATTTTGTTGAAGTTGAGGATATCAAAGATAATAGCAAGGAGATTAAATCCATTTGGGTTTCTATTAGTGGATATAAAGATAAAAGGCTTTTAGAAAAATTTGTTACAGACCACCAGATGACACTGATGAAATTAGTGAGAAACCTTCCATTGAGATTAAGATTTCAGCTGTTAATGAGTAATAATTATAGTGATTTTAATTTCAGGCACATAGATTGGGAAATGCTAGTCAAACCATGAGGGAGAAAGGTTTTTGGAAGCTGTTTAAGATGGTTTTCTTTAGATTTATTGTTAACTTCTAATATAGAAATGGTTGAGAAGGTGGAAATTTGGTAATAATCTACATGCAAGTGGTCATTGGTCTATTAGGTTCGAGGTTTTGCTGCATATGTAGATCAAGAATAACGATATTTTGGTTCAGAGTTTTAAAAAGGCATATTTTGAAGGGATGCAACAAGAATTATCTGTCGTAAATTGGACAGCTGAATTATTTGGAAACACTGATCAAATACGGCAAATTTTTAATATTCAAGAAAAACATGTTCATTATAGAAAGAAAAGGGTAGCTGCAAGCAAAAAACCATGTTGGCTCACAAAGGGTATAAGGAATAAAATTAAAGAAAAGCATCACAAATTTAAACTGACTGGTATGACAGGAGATTTAGAAGATTATAGAAGATGAAGGAAGTTATTAGGTCATCAAATTAGGAGATACATAAAAAAATGTTGGCTGAAATGTATGTCCTTAAATAGTGGGCAGGTGCCAGAAAATTGGAAGTTGGCTAATGTTACTCCTCTTTTAAAGAAAGGTGATAAAAGTTGTCCCAGAAATTATAGGCCTATCAGTCTTACATAAGTTGTGGGAAAAGTTTTTGAAAGTCTGATAAAAGATTACTTCCAATGTCATTTAACAAAGTTTAGAATTTTATTCGATAGTCAAAATGGGTTCACTAAGGAAAAACTTGCCTTACAAATCTCTGACATTTTTTGAAAAGGTTACTACTTGTGTAGATGAGGGTAAGGGTGTAGATTTGATGTATCTGGATTTTCAGAGAGCATTTGACAAGGTGCTACATAAAAGGTTTGTAAAAAACATTATCTCAGTAGGTTTGGGGGATAAGTTAGCTAAATGGATAGAAGAGTGGCTGGATGGAAGAAAGCAGAGAGGGTTGTTATAAATGTAATTCAGTCAAACTGGATTAATGTTACAAGTGGGGTACCTAAGGGCTCCGTCTTAGGACCTTCGCTCTTTTTGATTTACATCAATCACAGATGAAGGAATAGTCAATAAATGCTGCTGCTTTGCAAAAAGGATGTAGATCATTTAGTGAGTTAGGCAAATAAATGGCAGATGGGTTTTAATTATAATAACTGCAAGATAATGCATGTGAGTTGCCATAATTTGAATTATAAATATAATTTGGATGGGAATAACCTTATCAGTGTTATGGAAGAAAAGGATCTTGGTTTAGCGGTCGACTAGGCTCTTATGCCATCCTAGCAGTTTGCTGTTGTTAGTGGTAGGGGAAATAGGATTTTAGGTTGCATCTACAGAAATACTGAACACAAGTCTAAAAAGGTTATAATCCCAATGTATAGGTCATTGGCTAGGCTACCTTTGGAGTATTGTGTTCAGTCTTGGGTTTCCTTACTTAGGAAGGATACTGAATTGTTAGAAAGAGTTCAAAGCAGGGCTACTAGGATGATACCAGGGATGGAAACGTTGGAGTATGAAGAGAGGTTAAGATCTTTGAAATTGTTTTCTCTTGAAAAAAGAAGATTTAGGGGTGATCTGATTAAGGTGTTTAAGATTAAGGGAATTGATAGTGTTGATACATCACCTTTTTTCATACTTAATGGTGGAAATGGTAGGACTAAAAGACTAAAATATACATTTTAGCAAGGTGGGAGTCATCTTCAGCTAAGACAGTTTTATTTCTCAAACAGGACAGTTGACCTTTGGAGTGAGTTGCCTTTGGATGTGGAGGAGAGAGTAAACTTAAGTGAGTTTAAGAGACAGCTTGATAAATATATGAATGATAAGGGCTGGCTGCAAGGTTTTTTTTTATAGTTTTAGTTTAGTGGATGAGACAGGCCAGATGGACCAATAAATCCCTTGTTGTCCCTAAATATTGTTATGTCAAATTAGAGTTACTGTCATCAGAAAGAAATTATGTAATTAAAAGAACAATGCATGTATGTGTACTAGTTCACATGAAAACCCAATATTTCTATTGGCTAATTGTACAGTGGTACTTTTCTGATTATAAAAGCAAAAAATTAAACAACATTTAGCATGCATTTTTCTACACAAGTGCAAAATGACAACAATTATAGCACTAACTTTAAAGATAATTACTTCAGTAAGATAAACACAAGGAAAAACAGGAAGTTAATCCTTTGCCTTTCCATGGTTTAAAAATAATGCTGTATCATTATATCTCAATACAAATTCCAACAGCTGCCTAAAAATTGACAAATATGCCTAAAGTTTAAATATGTTTCATAAGTAAAACATGAGTTTACCCAGTATATAATCTAGAGCAATTAGCCATTACAGTCACTATCACAACTTCATTCATTTACAATGCTCTACAGCTAACACATTGAATGAAAAAATAATAATTACAGGTTTCAGATGATATACAAATGTGATTTAGACACATATACACACACAAGTAATTAACAAGAAAACATATGACAACAGTTGATTCTTACACTTCTCGATACCATATTTTTAATAATTCACTATTTCACAGCTATTATACATTTCCAACTATCTCAAAACAGGAGCCTAAAAATCAACAATTAGGCCTAAAGTTTAAATACGTTTCATATGCAAAAAACAAGTTTACCCACCACGGAAAAAAAATATTACACCATTTCCATTATTGTCGGTAGTGGACCCAACACTCTGTGTTAATATTTAAGGAAGTAAAAAATATTTGATACTCTTATGGAAGGAAAAAAATAAAAATAGGTGAAACAGCAACAAATGAAAACAGTTATTTTTACACCAATTGATACCGTAATTATAAAAATTCACTATTTTATAACGTCACTTTATCAAGAGTTTGATCAAGAAAAAATATAATAAAGATATTGGTCAAAGATGGCAAATACTGACAAAGACTAAATGTTTATACCAAAAATGTAGTGTTCAGAGATATATTTCATTTATGGTCATTCCATGTTTTTACACTTCTTTATTTTAAATCTAAATACAACAATTCCATATTTTGCTTATCAGGTTTTTGTTTCATTCATGTCCAACTACATGATACAATAAAAGCATTATTTAGAGGACTTACCTATTTAAAATATATACCCTTCTCATATATATAGCATTACTCTTAATTATGCCGCATATGTGAAAACAATTGTTGTTTTTTTGGCTCATATGGCACAGCACATGCTTCATGTACGAGAAGTTGAGGGTTCAATCCCATCTATATCCATATTATTTTTTTGCTAAACAATGTTTCAGTAGGCAATTTGATTACATACAGCATATGCACATGAGTTTATCCACTAATATAAATTTTAAGACAACAGACTAAAATCACACATTATACACAAAAGCATGTTTCTTCTAGTTGAATGACTAAACTAGTTATTTACCTAATGTAAGCCCAAGTACAGAGCATAACCAGTGCAATACCCATCAACAAATTGGAAAGGTTTGCCATAGAGTACACTCCCAGGATACCAAATATGGCAGAAAAAAAATACATAATTAACACTACTGCAAAAAGAGTGGCCGGTGTGCGTGCTGCAGCAAATATATTCTTGCTTTCATTGTGCTTCTGGAAACATTCAAAAGCTTCTTGTATTTCCTAGAAAGAAAAAAAATCATTTAAGCATTATATACACTATATTTACATAATATATATTTACATAATGAAGACTTCACAACAGTAAAATATGATCTTGAATTACCAACCAAGGGTACTTAACCCTTAAGTACTTGTGACAAGAACCAGATTTATATCAAACACTACAAAAAAGCATATCAGTCACAAATGAAGATTTATCATGGGAACTAATCTCAATATTAGATCTGCTCAATATGTACGATATTGTCACGAGCAAAAATTATTCTTATGCACATGGTATGTATAAATAGTTATAAAAACATTTTAGCCAGCATTTGGAGAATAAGTTTGTTTATTTGTAGTTAAGCACAAAGCTGCACAATGGGTTATCTGAGCTCTGCCGTCACAGGTATTGAAACCCAGTTTCTAGCATTGTAAGTCCTGGATAATAAGATCATGGAGAAAAATAAATGGATTTTCAAGAAAAAGATTATTATATAAATATCACATGAATACGAGCAGATACATACATAGATAAGTTTCAACAATAACAGCTATTTATCTGAAATGACCAAAAATTAATAAATTGTTTATTAAAAGCATATTATTAATATATGCAAAAAGATGATTAACCTCTTCCAATCTTTCTTGATAACACTGGGAAAACTCATTTCCACCCATTTTTTTTGTGGTACGAAATATATCCATGGCCTGTTCTTGAAGTCGTAGATGGTCCTCTTCTAGTATTCGGATGTTAAGATATGGACGTTCTCCACCACAAACCTAAAACATATTTAGTGTATACTAAATTCCACTATGCATGTAATTATGTACCAGTTTTATGTACATCATTTAAAGATACATGCTTTTTTTCCTTCTACATATTTACATATGCTCCTTCAAAAACTTTGTTTTTTATAAAATTGAAAAATTTTTTTTTAAGATACACCCAATGAAGTTTTCCTCTTTGTTAGATTGCAATTCATACATATTTCATAATGAGAGCAATTTTGTGGTATCACTGAAAACAAATGAATCACCACAGTCAATTTTTCATAAGTCACGATTACTTCACATAAAACATAGATTTTTTCTCACAGACAAATCTTTAGTGAAAATACTTTTTTTTTAAATCTGAATTTTTGTGTACAACATACTTGCAATGTTTGCTAAAAACATGTCATATTTTCTGAAGATATACTTAGTAAATTCAGTTACAGTACGTATAATTTCACGGTTACATGGAGGTTAGAAAATCAACCAAAATGATTAAGTATATATACAGAGTTAATAAATATTTAACTTCAAAGAGCTTACCATATTGTTAGTAGTTATCAGTATTTTCAAAAAGTAACAGAAAGTGTAAAAAAGATTTTCATCTTTCATTACTGGGTAATATATTAAAATAGTTTTTAAATGGAGTATACACCTTTTGGAAAGCAAGCTTCGATGTGCCCAAACAGTTTATGTCAATCATCCTTTTATGGGTAAAGACAGTTATGCACTTAGAAACAAAATCAAAAATATCTTTAAATTAAACTATTCACAAATTTCATTGTGTGAGGCTTTAAAATCTATAATGAGAACTGAGATTAAGAAAAACAAAATCAATAAACTTCAATACTCCTACTTTGTTTATTGATATGTTTGTTTTCATTATGGACAAGAATATGTGGATCAAACCATGTGTCATTTAGAGCACTGTATAAAAGATCATCTTAAGCCTAGCATTGGTAGTTCTTCAAACATCTACTAGTATTTATTTCAAGATTGTGATGATGTGGCTAACAAAAGTAATTTCATCATTGTATATAGCACTCCGACAATGAACAAGATGTCCACGCAAAAGAAACTTTGGCAATCAAAAAACTTAAATCTTTACTGAACTCAAATGCATAAGTTATAGAAACTATTTTAAAACTGTACACTTATCTGTGCTAGACATCCGTAACTTTGAACTGACAAACTAGAGGGACAGCAGCTAGTCACAAGCAGCCAATGCCAACTCTTGGGTTATTCTTGTTTAACTGAATGGTGGGGTCTGTTACCATCAAAACACAATTGTGGCACCAAAATGCAAAGAAGGAAGTTTGCATTTGTGGTAATAGGATGTGAATATTAAACCCATAGACTCACAGTCTGATATAAAAACCACTGACCATGGTTCAGCACTAAAACAACAAAAGGTTTAGTATAGTATGAACTACAATTGTAATTCAAAACTAACTTTTAGCTACAGTTCAAGAAAAGTTTGCATATCTCAATAGAGGACTTCAAAGAGATGAAAAAAAAAAACCCAAAATTTCTATATCTTAAATACTTGAAATCTGTTGCTGACAGGAAGGATAATGTTTTGGAATCTTACTGCCATATAAACTGATTACATGCACAATCACAGATCATTTTAATAAACTAGTAATATACACTGAGTGGTCACAAGTAAACAGACATCTAATTTTTCGTCATTTAACTCATTTATGCTAACTAATTTGTGTTACAACATGCCTAGAACTCAAGGTTCTCTCGAATTGTCAGATTTTGTTAGAGGAAGGATAGTTGGTCAAGCAAATGGTGGAATAAGTCAGCGGCAAATTTCGCAGAATTTGAAAATCCCGCTTTTGACAGTCAACAGAATCATCGTGCAGTTCAGGAAAC